TTTGTGTATTCAATCACAGCGAATAAGGCGGGGTTGCTCACCTGTAAATAATCCACAGCCTGACACACGGAATCCACATCACACAACATTCGCATAGTCCATGTGACCGCGTCAAACGCGAAGAATGTACGTTCCGGAAAGACCGATGTACTTGTGGCTATGAACGGTAGTCCGGCACTGCAAAAAAGAAAAAGAAAGCGGTATGAAAACTGAGCCTATTTTCCAAGCATTATTTGTTTTGCTTTCGGGATGTACGGCATACACGTAAACGAAAAGACCCAAGAGCAAACTATATGACTGTAAATCCAACGAGACTAAGTCTAGTACGTGTTCCGGTTATTCAGAATGCATCACACTACGCCACAATTGAACTAGATTTATCTCATATTCTCCATAGGACACATAAATAGATGCGGAAAACTCGGACCCCGGGAGTTCGCAGAGTTGAACTGCGAACAGCTAAAGTACCATATATATGATTAGTTGCAGCCAAACCCGCCCACTCCTCCCCACCCGCACCCCCCGTGCGCGTTTAGATTACCAATAACTCGCCATAACTAACTGTGATGCCGCAAATTCGATTCGTTATCTGTATAGCCTGTGCTAGATGACCAACTCTGAATTCGTGCCACATTAGACAAACCTAGATGACCACCGTATCGAAAATGCACATCGTTACACGATTTTTCCTTCTCGTTTATGATAAAAAATGATCAACGATTAAAACTTTCTACGAGACTAAATGTATACATCCCTTGTTCCACAGGAAAGAACACTTACTCTGCATCCAGCATAAGAGAAATCACTTGATAAATCGGTGTACTGGTAGAACTGAATGTTGCAGTTGATGTGGCCTGCGTAGACGGTGTTGTTGTTGTCGTTGTTGATCCGCTAGGGCCAGGATGTGAACCTACTTCCCCGGGAGAGGTGAACGTTCCGGCCAGGATAGATACCGGATTAGGATGAGGTTCTTCCACTGATGGAGTTGTCACGGCCTGTGTATCCGAATGCTGAACAGGATTGCATGACACATTGCTCGTCACTCGCTGCTGAGTCACTGAAACAGTTGTGCTTGGTGTTGTAGCTAAAATCAGACTGGAAGTCACGGTTGGTTTGCTCACAGCCGAAGTCGCGGCGGTCGACACCGGGAAGTTCAGGCCACTACTGGTTGTGCCACAAATGTTAGCGCCACAGTTGCTTCCGAGGCCTCCACCAGCAACCTGTTGGACAGCATATGCACTGGAACCGGACAATTCACGTGATCTCAAAATTACCTCTGATTTTTCCATGGGCATCTGATATGAAAAGAACAAACAAGAACAAAACGGAAATAGCTTGGGAAATAGATTGATAGGTCACAAGACTGACATAATCCACACAAGGATGACGATGTTGATGATTGACATAGAACGGTTAAATCCGGGACAGTGGGGGTGGGGAGAGGGACGCAGCAGAGCGGATCATTATCATCACAGACACCACTAGCAAGCAGCACAATGAGACAGTGACAATACAGCCCGGGGTCCGTGGCATGGAATCGCGCTAGCTTTCTTAGTATAGGAAGCAAAACGAGTGATCCAAATGTCATGAACATGCACAATAATCCTCGCAACAGACACTTTTTGTGGATATAAACAAATATGTAAGAAAGAAATGACAAAGAGACAGAGAGCAGGATAGTGTGTACGAAGAAAGTGAAATGGGAGAAGCACACTTCCGGATATCAGATGTATATGATTCAGAAACAAAACAATGACAAATAGCCCTCTATCTGGCAATGACAAATTCAGAAGGGGCTAAAACAGAACGGAAATCGGTGGAATGAGAACAGTCATTGTAATATGATCGGTGAAAAAAAAACAATCCAATCACGAGGGTGTGTGTGTGTGAGCACTTCCGTCAATTCCATGAACAGGAACAAATTACGATTTACACCACTGAACAAATTTCGCAACTAATCCGATAACACGTTCCTCACCTTGGACTGAACCCTAGAAAAGGTATGGTATATTTTTCTTGTCTACCGGATATGAAAGAATTGAGAGTTCGGACAAAAAATGAGTGGCGAACAAGCTCATGTCTGCATCCGACAGCTAACCAGTCTTGATCGTGGGCGACAAATCCCACACATTGAGCGAACTGTCTTGGTCGTGTTCATTGTGATTCGTTTTGCCCAAGTGTAAAATCATTGCAAAGCTGAATGATCTGATCATTCCAGTGTTTTGCCACGCGAGGTGATACTTAGGAATCTTTTCAGACAATTTTCTGAATGTGTGGGCCCACCTACGTTGTACAACAAGAGCAGTCGAATCAGTGTACACTGTTAGGCACTTTGTCCGTTAATCGCAGACACATAGAGCTTTACTAGATGGACGTACTTAGCTCTTACCGGGACAATTTTCTCCTTGATTAATAATATGTATTTTGATCTATTGCCAGCTTCATGAATCCCTGGAACCGAGACTGTTCAACATTCTGTGTTTTGTATTGAAAAGATTCAGAGGTACTAAGAGAATGGAGCGCGGGTGGATGTTAAAAATGTTTCGCTGTGCCGTATAGATCTTCAGCTAAACACAGTGAATTACTACCACATATGGGATAAAAGGAGTGGGGGAGGGGAGATGAGTGATGGCCAAACGGACAGCGAAACGTTTGGCCCAAGAAGAATGAGTGAAAAGCAGCAAGGAATTCACGACAACGCATCAACACAACGGTTCAGTGAGTGGGTAGGAATCTAGTCCTATTGTGAAACCACGTTTCAAAGAGAGGGTTTTCGCATGGATACAAAAACCTTTACCGGTTTTTGTGCGTAGAAAAACAAATGACTTACCAACTGGTTTATCAATGTTTACATTCTGATAAGCCATGGAATTCGGTCCTATCAAACCATTGAGAGTTCTAACGAAACGATTCTGTTAATCAGCAGAAGCAGATGGCATTCTGCACTCAAGAACCGCATAGTGTATTTTAGCTCAGATCTGGAGAATTTCTTATACTGGGATTTAATCAAAATCGGTGATTTCCTTGCAAACATGCCATCATAAACCTAGATGACAGTGTGAGTGTAAAAGACGTTATACACTAAGTCTATGCCCCAAACCCGGATGATTGCTGAAAAGACTGAAGATACGATTTATTGAAAAAAAAAGAATCTTGAACGGCGAGAAAATCTTACAAAGCGCTACCCGGGTTTAGATGTATCAAACACTTTGATTAATTGAACTTCCGCGACTAACTACTCATCAGAGCTTTTGACATTGACCCGTGATTCCGCCGACAGAGTGAAGTTGATATTGATGCACAGGTTCAAAGTGGAGCAAGGTTCACGAACTGCACGCAACTAAAGACAATGAGAACTCTCTCTCAGTTTCGCCATCGTGTGTTCAATGAGATTCGTGCGGGGCAGACAGAAATTAATTGGGCATTCCTACTCCGTGTCAGGCGATTGCCCGACACTAAACTGATAACGAATGCAAAGACAGTGTGCCAATTTTATTCTCAACTTCAGAACTGCACAGGAGCGCACAGAGGATTTTTAATCAACATGTGTAGTTCATTGCAACTAGGTGTTGGGTGTGGCTTAAACTAGTTACAACAGAGGGGCAAAAAACTCTTAACAAGTTTATCTGAGTGAAACCGGATCAATGAGGAATCAGAATAAGTAATGCTGTTGTGAGGTACTATTCACAGCTGTGAACGGTGTCGTTAGTGCGCGCACAAAGAGGCAATTGGTGGATTTTCATCGCACCTAGGAGAGCATTAAAGGATTTATGATTGTAGCTACAGAACAAACAAAAGACTGTAGAGCTGCTTCACCACGCAACAAGAGCCTTCAGGGAACTATTGAACACCTGTTTCATATTTATGTTTTGTTCTGTGTTCCTATTTACCCCCCCCCCC